GATCTTGATGCACAATGCATATAGTACATGTATGCTGGACTGAGAAAATACCGTGTAATGTCAGCATTTCATGGGTCTAGGCCTGTATTATGTTAATTTCCTACAACTGATAATGATGTTACCTGTCAATGAATCACATCCTTGGGTGAGCATTGATCATGGGCCTTGATTTATTCTTCACGAATAAAAAAGGAGTGTTAAGATGCCGTGTCCTTCAGCATTCAAATGCTGCCGAATTTCATCCAAAGTTAATTGTATAAGAAATTTGTCACAAGTGAAAAAAAAAAATGCTTTGCTGGGGAGGCAGGAATGTGTAGAATATTAGAAAAATTGGTTTCGTTGTGGAAACCTTAATGAGTAACGTCTGCTGCAACCTCTGAACGCCCGGTACATGAAATCACTGCCCTTTTTTGGTGTTCTCAAGGTATTGGTTATATGCGGCACATGTACTGCACATGAGATTGGGTTTCATTAACAAACTTGTCAATATTAATCATGGAACTTATTTCAGTTCCTTTGTGTGAACCGAGTCCTGCCCTGTTCTAAGGTTGTCTGAGAAGCATCAGAAGTTAAGTAATATCAGAAAATTCTCTATTCAGGTTGAATTACTTTTCTTTCTCGGAAAAGCACTTACGGTACAACTTAAGAATTATGGAGTATGATCTTGTCATGCCCTTTCAGGGGGAAGAGCTGTAATTCTTTTTCCAAGATTAAAAAGTTCAAGTTAAAAAGAAGGCACAGGGATTATTGTCTAATTTTAGGAAAGGCCGAGCCTTTGTTTGCAGATGCGGAGGAATCTCTTGCTGTATGTGATTACATGTATCTTGATTTGGCTTTACTGGATATCCAAAGGGCATGTATGTTTCCGGACCATGAGTTTAAACCACAATACTTCATACTGCAGAACCAAATGAATGAAGAGCGTTTAGCTCTGCCTGAAGCATTCACTGACATTATTAAACTATGCACCCTGGTATTTTTTCGACACTAGAAAGCTTCAGAGAGAAATGGCCCTATCTTGCTGAAGTGCATGTGACGCACCGATAGAGATTTCCGGTTTTGCTGTGGGGTAGGTCTGTTCAATGTGAAAATCAAATTAAAACGGTCTCTTTGCTCCATACTGTCAAAGTGTTGGGGGCATCCTTTGATGCTGGTGGGCACTGTTTTTAAAAAACAAACATGTTTATGGATCTGTGGCATCATTTTTAAGCCCTTTTGGATAGCAGTTCCTGGGGTTAACATGGACGACTCACCAGAAAATACTGTCCTGGAAAGTTACCTTAAAATATTGGCTTTTGAGTGCCATCTTTCCTCTTTTTTTCTCTTTTCCAACTTAGTTGAACTGAGAGTGCAAATCGCCTGGCTTCTCTTTGCTGTTGCATTGTAGGCGTATGATAACGTGTACATACATATTGAAATGATCAGTTTCATCAAATATCTGGCTGTGTTTAACACTTCATTGTTTCTGAGTTTGTTCTGTTGAATTTTTCAATGTGTATTATGTGGGTCAGGGCAGGACAGATCACTCCGCTGGCGGTAGTGCTGTGTTCTGTTACCCTGCACTTTTTGCCTGGTGTTTTGTCCAAATTTTAACCATCAAGTGCATGGAAACAGATACAGTTTTACAGAGTATCTGGTGTTGAAACAAGCAGACTCTGGGCTACCCGTCATCGACCCGGCTTGTTTCTCCATTCCCGTCAAGGTCTGCATCCCAAATTCATGATTAGAGCTTCCTGAATGTGCCTGGTCCATCTCATGCCTCGTTGGAGCCCGATTCTGCAATATGGATCTGCTTGAGATGACTCTCATTCATGCATGCAATGAGGATTGTCCCCCCCACCACACTCCCACCTTTGAAATATCAGAGTTGGGTTGTGAAATGTTGCATAATACAGAAAGCAACTCCATTCTCTGGTGTGCATTTCAGTGAGGCGTTGTTTCATAAAATGTTTTTCTATAAAATTTTCTGTTTCTTTGCACGTTTGGGGGCTTCCCTGACAAAAGTATTTGTTACATTTCTAGCTGAGATGCCTATTTCTTTGGATTTTGAAGATTTCTGCATCGAAGGGTGATAATCCGATTTTTTGCTGGGAAACCTCGATGCCGGACCCAAGTGATGGAGACTCTCTTAATATTACTGTGACTGTACCAGCAGGGCATATTGTGTTACCAGAGGCTCGGACTAGGGGCTCATGTGGGATTAAAATATCTACCTGTCCTTTTTCATGCAATATAATGCCTGTGCACTCCAAGCAAACTGTTTGAAAACTGTTTCTCCTCGGTGCTGTTGGAGCCCATAATCCCATTGTGCCAAATTCTATAGATCTGTACATTAGGGTTAAAGATTTGTGAAATAAATGGGGTATATGTAAAGGACAGGTAGGCAGGTGGTTAGATGAAACACTGGCTTAGACTTTTAACATGCTCTTGCAATTCTAGAAGTAATCATAGTATATTGAATGTATCTACAAACTGGTTCATATTCCAATCCATTTTTGTGGTAAAATGTAAACCTACTTTGAGTCGTGTGTACAGTTGTTGAGAATCAGCCAATCTTCGTCCACTGACCATTCCCCAAATTTCCCATTCCTTCATTTGATCGCAAGAAGTCAGCTATTTCCACAGGTTTTTTGACACTTTGATGAGAACAGAAAAAAGTCTTCTGTTTGTTCAACTGGACATGTGTATTGGTATTTTCCAGGTGGTGTGTAAAGTAGACAAGCTTCAGGCATGATACTGGTTGTGTAGGTGCATATCTCTTGGTACTTTAGACTCTTGGTTTTAATGTATAACATTTCTATGAGGCCTAATTAGAGTATGGGCAGGGACAGATCAATATAATAATGTAATTGAGACTATTCTCCAACCCACCTCTAACATCCTAGGCTAGAGTTACTGCACTCTCATTTTCTATGTCCCGGCGGTCACGGCTTTTTCTTCAAGCAACCGAATCGGAGAGGTCGTTAGGGAAAATGATTTTGGAGTGGGCGATAACCAGATTTTTCTTTCCTTTTTTTTTCCCCCTTGGAGTATGCGTGTCTCTCTCGAGCAGTAGGGGAGAAAGACCACCCTGAATGCTGAAGCACCTTTCTCTCTGGATCACTTCAGTGCTTGGTCAGCCATCGTGGAATTTTCTGTCAAGGTTTTAGTTTTCCTCTAGACATTATTGGGCAAGTTCTTACTTCGGGAAACTTAAGTTTACATGTCTGGCACTTTGTATTAAAATACTAGCCTGCAGAGAGCTGTTTAGGGAATTAATATTAAAAGTAGTGCGGGTTCTCTGTTTTTTTGCTGATGTGCAGTTAGCTTCCCATCCATGTCCTTGATTGATTGATGTGAATGATTTTGGTGTTTGTTAATTTTTACCCTAAAATCTGATGGCCTTTCTGACCCTTTTTCTCGGATGTGTTTGGAGGAAAACTTTGTATTTGGTTTTGTTTTGTTTTTTTCGGTTTGAACAGTAAAGTGTTCTTCCTGTCGGAGTGGGTTACATTTTCATGCACCATAAACGTATCAATATTGTAGATATAAAAATGAGCTTGTCACCGTGTGACGAGGATATCACTGCGCACCTGAAATCCTCTTTCTGAAATCCCAAGCAGGTGCATCTTAACCTCAAATTACCAAACCCCCCCCCGGCATTGAGAAAGCTCTATCACTCATGGCAACTAAGGCGCCGGCTTTCATTTGATCAGCAGCTGCCTGTGTGTGCCTGAGGTTTTGTATTAATCAAATTTAATGCAAGTTCATATTTGCAAGCTGCGGGGGGGGGATGTCTGCTGACTCTGCAACACGTGCGATGCATTAATTTGCATGTTTTGCCAAGTTACCTGCTCTCGACAGCCGTAATGATTATTCAAAGTGTGACGTCATTTACCTAGGCTACATTGTAGGTAACTTTGACTTTCCATTCCTGTCAGAAGATATTCCACATCTGCAGTTTATTTAATTTTAGTAAAGCCAGTAAATGTTCTCATACAGTCATGGGGCCCCTCCCCCCACTAGATTGCAATTCGAGATACAAAATGTAACATTTGTTTCATTTCTAAAGAGCTATTTCTATTTTTAAAAAATCAATTATATTCTATGAATCAATTCAATGTTAAAAATATACATAAACATTGATAATTAGAAGTGACAAGACTGCACAAAGCAGTACACTTTCAAAAACAAAACTGATATTAGTTAAAGTATTTCAAATTAATTCAAAAAGTGACAAGACTACCCAGGAAGTAACTAAAATAAAACCCAAATTACAAGGACCTATTAAATTGTTAAAAAGCGTAACTAATCATAAAATTATTTTTAAAAGATAGATGTTGATTGCACACTTAAACTCATTTTTATATGTGGTTCTCTTTAACTGCTGTGGCAAGTTCCACAAAGATGGTCAGGCAGTGACAAATGCATTGTGTTTTTTGTCATAAGATCAAGGAACATAAAGCTTCATAGTGTCTTGACTGGTGAGCACAGTGTGACCTCGTTTATCAGCCAGTGCTGTAGTCGAGATCTACTAAGATTATCACAAACCCCATAAAAACCATCTCAAGACCTCCAGGAGTCCAGTCTAAATTCAAGTCATACACTATTCAAATGAACATATCATTGTTCACTGTTACTCGTGACTGGTCTTGAGTGGTTTGTAATTGGTCTGGTGATGGTCTTGACAACAAGTGTCATGGCAACACCAGCCCATGTGCAGCCTTCTGTGTTCATGTTTTGTCCATCCAGAACCAGTGTTGCTCCTAGTCACTAATTTATCTTCTCGTCATGTAAACTAATCAAGACAATATCTTGTTCTCTTTTCTCTCTACCCTAACCTTCCTCCTTTTCCAACTCCACTGAATCGTTTCGCGGACCACTTTCTTCCACCATCCCTTCTAACCCACCACCCTCTCCTATCATCACCTTCCATCTTCCACTCTCTCCGGTCATTTCTCTCCCCTCCACCCAATCTCATACTTACCCCTCAATTACCTCCCCCATATCCCATCTCACAGCTGGCCTGGAAGCCTTCAGGAAGTTCTTGCAGACAGAGTTCAGCGATGAGAACATTGAGTTCTGGCTGGCCTGTGAAGAGTACAAGACCCTGGACACTAGCGTCCTGGAGAGCCGGGCCCAGCAGATCTTCGAGGACTACGTGACGATACAGGCACCGCGTGAGGTGCGATGGTTATCTCTATGAAGCAAATCCTTGACCTTAGGGACCATTGAATTATCCAGCATTTGCACTTTGTCCATGGCCTTGTTAATGACAGTACAGAGGTTTTGGACAGATCGTTCTTTGTGGAGTTTTCAACAATGCGGGATAGAGCTGTTGCTGCATGTTTGTGCTGGGGAAATGAAAATAATTATCAGTACTTGGTTTTTGCCCTTTGCCAAATGGAAATCTATTTAGAGTAACAAAATGACTTAATATTTCCAAGTTTCTATTTGTTGATGTCACTGTTGATCATTTTTGTGGTTCAGAATCTTATTTCGAAAGTTAAAGAAAACCTACATGTATTCCTAAACCCCAAACTGTAAAATGAAATCCTACAAAAGCCTACACAATCCATGAAATATGTAAACAAGAAAAGAGATTCCAATTGAGCTTTGAATTGACTTCTGTCTGACTATCACTTTGTGCCTTTCTCTTCAAAGGTCAACCTAGATTCCAGAACGAGGCTAGAAACGACAGCCAACGTCAACCACCCAGATGAGAACACGTTCGACCACGCTCAAAAACGGATAGAAGCTCTAATGGAGAAGGATTCGTACCCCCGGTTCCTGCGATCGGACATTTACCAAAAACTTCTAAAAGAATTCATCAAGAAGTCCAAATGAGGCTAGAGTGGTTGCACCATATAAACAAACCGTCATCTTTTAAAGTACAAATATATATAGTTTACATCACGTTTTAAACTTTGAACACGGACAAAACGGGAAAACTCTTTTATTGTGCTGTTGTGCAACTCATTGAGCAGAGGTGATGTATATTTCCGTGTAGATTTGACGCAGAGAGCTGGACTTGGAAAGGGGCACTGGGCAGGAACCCATGAAAGTTTGTACAGCAGTTGTGGCTGACGAGCACTCAATGCACGGTTATTTTTGTTATTAATTTTTTTTTAACAAACAAGGACCACAGGAGTACGTAGAACCAAACATCTGCAATATTAGAAGTGTCGCAATGGATTCAGGAGGAGAAAAACAAAGGCGACGACCTTGTGGAGGATTCTCAGTCCGCCTCGGCAGATAATTCCACAGCCCCTGGATCTTGGGGGAGATACGAGCTGCTGGTGGCATCATCAAGTCGTCAGCATTGCCATGGCAACCAGCAAACGTTCAATGCTGCCTCGAATCAGAGCGGTGTTGGAAACACGATACTCTTGAGCCGAAGAGCAGATCTTGTGCAATGCTTCAGATACTTGGAGAAACTGAGAAACAAGGAGGGAGGGAAGCTCATTGTGTACCTTGCGGCGTCCCGCTCAACTTACCCAGGGGGTTAGCGTCGGATTTTTTGTTTCCCGAGCAGCGCCAGCATTGAGAAATCTCCCACGTTAAGGGTGCTCTAGACAGAACCCAATAGAATGTCATCGTGACTATTGTCAATAGCTCTGTACTCATTTCTCCACTTCAATTTCTTGACTGCATGAATAAGTACACAGCTGAATTTTGAATATGCAGGCTTTCCATTAACCAGAGCAAAAACAATAATTTGATATCCTGTTGACAGGGTGTACGGTACCGCAGGAATCATTTTACCAAGTAAGCAGGGAGATTCTTGAGGTAGTTATTAAACAGGTCAGAAATGTTTTTCAAAAACTGTGGACAAACCCAGAAGGGATAAGTACTGGTACAAACAGAAGTGGCATACTCCCCTTGGTTTCTGGGAATCAGAGACAGGATTTCCTTAAACGGCCAAGGAAATAGGACAAGTGTCAGTCACCCAGTCAGAATTTATCAGCTAGAACTCCTGTTATGAAATTGGAAGCAAAAGTTATAATAGTATACTTATTTATTTACCAGTCATGGGGAAACAATTCATAATGTTTTAAAACGTGCAGGAAGGGAAACCTTTTTGTTCAAAGGATGGCATTGACCTTAGACAAATTCTGACACCAGACAAAATTAGAGTGTTTGGAACATTTTGAGTAGTGCCATTTGCCGCCCTTCAATTGGTGGTTGAAAAATGAAGAGATTAGATGAGAAAGCCCTTCAACACGAGCGTTATCAAAAGCTCCATCCAATAATTTTTGTTTCTTGAACACTTTAAATTCTTTGTGAATTACATTTTTAAAAGTATTCAAAAAGGAGAGTTCCCAATTATTCACAAAATAATGTGCTCTGGGTATTTGTACATTTGATTGTCTCAAAAGGTGAAAAAATGGGAGAATTTATGCTAGTGGATTTTCGAAGTATCTCAGACTAAGGTGTAACGTAGAATTCACAAATTCACTGAATTCTGTCCCCATCATTCTAGATTATCTTGTTTTTTCCCAACAAAAGCAGGATAATTTGAATTGCAGTTGCTTGACAGTGGAAAGTTGAGGGTTTGGTTTAAAAAAATGAAATTGTTCCTGTTATGTTTTGTCTCAGAAGATGTTTCTCACGGCGATCAAAGTGTGTGAATTTGCAAATGCAGCTTTTAGTGTTAGTTCGTATTTTGTAATTTTTGTTTTTAAAGGGAGGTCATCCTGTGATCTAGTTGAGGCACTCAAAATTTTCTGCCTCACAAATGAGGGAACAAATGAAAAACTAATTCTCACTTGGTCTTTTCTCCCTCAACTGGTAATCATAGAACAATGAGCAAACATTCTCTTTCACGCACAGTTGAGGCCTTATTTAAACAGTGAACTAAAGAAACATTACAAACCACTCGAGAACATCGCAAGTCCCCACTGCAGTGAAATGAACAAAGAATTTCTCACTATTGATAAGAAATATTTCTGACGAACTTGAAGGGTTGATAACAAACGTTTCAAGAGGGACTGGAATCGTAGGGATATGGCTGCACTTTTTCCGTGATGAAAAGCGGTAAGACACCACCCTGAAGATTTCAAGGTGTCTGTGCTCTGCACAGACATTAGGATTTCAAGACAAAATGAATGGCTTGCCTCTGCATAATATTGGTCAGTGGTGTAGCTGCACTGTATTAGATGTTATCTAGTTAATCCTTCATTGACCACACTTTCTCACAGTGCGCCATGCTTCAAATTTTCTGAAATGAGGCCAATGTTTGTGACCTTTTCAAATGCTTGAATGTTACACAACAGCACGCACAGAAAACTTGTAAGCTCTACTTACTCCGTCAGCAAGCACGTGCTGACCAGGGAGAAGACGAAAGGGCAGGCTGACATCTGACTGTCCTGGTTACCGTTTGCAATGCAACAATAGGATGTCCGTCCAAGATACCACAGCCTCACACCATTGCATCCTGAGTACCGTTGATGCATGAACAGTCAATGTGGCTTGTCTCCGCAAATGGACACGGTTGCCAGGCAACGGAGTGCCCTTTCCAATATATAGTGACGTCCTAACTGTTCGGTTGGTTTTTCAAACCTTTCTGGAAAAAAAAAGGTGGGATTCACTGACAATTGGCATGTTCTGTGGTCACTGAAGGGCGAACAGGGACTGGAGGGGTAACCATTAGTCGTGTACAATGTATTAAATAGTTGGCACAGTGTAGTACATGTGTCTCGGTCAAAACAATTTGCATAGTGATGTGCAACTCCTAGGTATGGGCTGGGGTGAGCTGGTTTTCCACAATATATATATATATACATATTGGCTAATGTTATCTGAACTCAAATTATGCAATTAAATATGGTTTTGTCAAAAAGCTGCTTCTCGGCAAAACGGGGAGGGGCGAAGACTAGGGGCTAAGTATTTCTTTCCTTATTGACGTGTATTGAAATGCTAAAGTGCTACAAATACAGGTCTAAGTTTAACATGAAATGTTTGATCAGCTCAATGGTTCTTTCTCTTTTCTTTATGCTGTGGAAATTTGTTACTCAATATAAGCAACTCTCAATGTTTCTCCTTTTCTTGTTTTGCCGTGAGGTAAGCCTAGGTATGTAATTTATTCCAGAGAAGTGAGAAAGATTTTAACTTTTTTTAGATTTCCGTGTACATGTATATAATTGCGAATAGGTGTATATGAAAAAAAAAGATTTTAGTGTACAGAGTGTATAAACAGACGAGATCAAGAAATGTTTTCCACTTTTTTTTTCATTTGGTACTTATACTGTACACATATTTGCTAACGGCATGCAATTTAATGAATAGATAAAATATATGGATATTGATCTGATCTGACAAAATAGGGCCCTCCCTTAAAAATCCTCAGATTCAGTGATCAGGTTTTACCTCTTCTGTTTACTATTTTTGGTCGACCTGATTACCCGAAAGTCCCTCTGCAGCTAGGAATTTTCGTGTGTCTCTGTTCCATGACACATCCTGTTGGAATCAGGTGTGTTTCACGTTTAACAGAGGCATTTAATTTGAAAGTTTAGCGACTGTCATGCCTGTCTGCCTGGACTTCTTGTAAAGGATTACCGATGGAAGGATTGCTGGCATTACTAATGTTTCATAAAATCCCTCTTCCACCGCAGAATACTGTAGGGAAATCAAGTCAGCAAATGATACTAGTGATAGACGTCCTTACCAATTTCTGTCGTCCTGGTGTATATTCCAGACTTTAGACATTTACAATGTAGCTGTAGATTTTCTTTTTTTTTTAATGGGGACGGCCGTCCTTTTAGTTCCTGATTCACTGCTGTCTCTCTGTGGAGGGCTGCAACTTTATTTCAGGAGCAAATTGTTTCTGGGGGAACAAAAAAATATGAAAAAATTGTGCTTGAGTTTGTAACTTTCCACAGTTCAAAGAAGGGTATACGTGTATATAGCATTTACCATGACCCCTATAGAGAAGTGTATAAGTACATTAGACGTCATTTTACCTTTCATTGGTTCAAAAAGTTATTTTGTGATAAGTATTTGAAATGGTGCAGACTTTGGAACTTTAAGGTTTGCTGTGCTTTTCTAAGTAATAGATTAAATGCTTTTTTGACGCAATTGTGCTGAGTATGATTGGGCATATACATGTAGATGATCAGATTTTCCTCAGCCATTGTTGTAATCCCTAACTACAACTCAGCTGGAGTGAATATTTTTTATCAAGTTGCTGACTTGCCAATTTTTTTCTTTTCTGAATACAATTTTGTGTTCAGTTTCAGTGTTTACCATGATATCAACATGGCTACATTCTGTCCATTTTGAAGAAATCAGCTTGAAATCACCACCCCAAACTAACCACTTGATGAAAATGTACACTACTTTTCAATAGAGAAAACTATTTTGTCACCAGCAAAGTATCTATCAATTAATTACCTAGTTACTCTAAATCCTAAAAGCAGTTTATGTGTAAAATAATTTTTTAAAGTGTATGGAAATCCAGATAGTTTCTGTGAAGTCCAAAAGTTGCCAATCTGCGGAATAAAAGTCTGAAGTATTAGTTTTATTCTTCTGTAATATACAGGAGCATGTCTTTCTGTCTGTTCTAAAACTCAACTGTCTGTACCGAGCAATTTTACTATAAGGTTACTTTTCAGATTTGTTCATATGTACAGTAACGTTAAGTGTTCTTGCGATTAAATGGAAAAACCAAACATGCAAGAATACCTTTGGAAACATTTCACACAATGTTGTAATAAACCATTTCTCACATAAAAGTGGCGCTAGTTGCATTGAAGTCATTTTATTTATTTTGATTGATCTTAACACTAACCACAACACCTCTGAGTTACATCTCAACATTTACTCCATAAATGTTCAACATTTCTTTGGAAATTACAAGTGCACGCACCTCTTTCCAAGGAGTCTTTGTAGATTCTGAGAAAATTTTGTCCAGCTGGAAAGAGAGTAAGATTAACCCCTTGTTTTTCCTTGTTTTGATAAGATCTGAAAAAAGAAGAAGAATTGGACGTTAAACTTAAAGCTGAGATTCATACTTGTTCTAGGCAGCACTTCTATAAAAATTAACATTGTACAAGACATCAGTCTTGATGCAAGAGATGGCTGGATACCAGACACAGATCATAAGATGCAATGCCACTGCAGTCTACAGACTGTACTGTACTTGTGAAAACTCGACAGAACACTTGTTATTTCAATACAATTTAACCGTATGCTGCAGGGAACACCATTTCGGGTAACTTGAGTTTGTATGCATAGCCTGAGTGCCCGAAATCGGACTAAAGACCTGAGCCATGTAACAAAAGACGGTACTCGGAACAAAAGACCTGCTGCTGGGAATTGCCATCATTTTTCAGTTTGCATTTATAGGAGGTAATCCGTCATTGTTTTGAAATGGTGTACCACTGTTTCGGCATAGCGCACCCATGCGGACGGACAAAAGCACTCCAGCTCCCCATTGATTAGCAATACAGTACCGCTGCACACTAATCCAGCCGCATTTGAAAAGACGCCACTGGCATTCATTGGGAACAAAGGAAATTACACAACACTTCACAATTCTGGGCTCTCTTTACAGGGCAACAGGCCTGGCTGAAAAACTCAGGCATCAATGGAGGTTGCATGTCAGACTAGAGTAGACACCAGACAACCATTCATGTGGATATAAACATCCATTAAATGGAATCATGAATTTTTGAAGAATTTTGAAAATGGAAAATTGCCCATATGTAGACACTGCATGTTTAAAAGCACCCAGCAGCATAATTATTGTTAAGCAACTAATTTACATTCAACTACATTTACATTTAATTAATTAATTGATCAAAAGTAGTACGTTTCAAGATGTTGAAACCAGCATGTTTGATTGATATAGCAAATGAATATAGCACTGTTAAAAAAAATAATAAAATAAAGAAACAAGGTTTACTGAAATCGTAACACTTTCAAATGTGAATCTTCAGAGTGAAATTTGTGGAATTTTATTTTAACAGGGAAGTTAGTTTTTCCAGTTTTTCACTGTAATTACAGCAAATTCCAACCTTCAATATAACATTCCATGCTTATCAAAAAAATCTGCCAGCAGTCAATGATTTT